AACTACAGTTGCCATGGAGGAAGAACTATAGTTGCCATGCCAGTGTAACTACAGTTGCCATGCCATGACAACTGCAGTTGCCATGGAGGAACAACTGCAGTTGCCATACCAGTGCAACTACAGTTGCTAAGCCAGGAAAACTGTAGTTGCCACATCAGGGGCAACTACAGTTTCCATGCTAGCACAAACTGCATTTGCCATGAATTGACCAACCACTACTATGCTTACAGGTTATTACGGTGGTGGTAACCGGGCAAATGTCTCGTGGCAAGATTCACAAATTGCAGGTGGAGCACGTCATTTTGGTGTCACAGACCACACAAGATGGTCACATGCAGCACAACAAGGTAAAGAAAAAAACTGAACCACAAAATAGCACTACATTTGTTTTGGTGGCAAAAAAGCACGTCCCGAAAAAAAAGAATTAAACAGTGATGGTGGACAAGAACGAAGCATAAAACACTGAAAAGTGGTTGCGTGCAAATGAGTCATGTATTGTCTTTGAAAAATTGCCAACTGCTAAAAGCATGTATGCATCACTGATGGTTGAACACGTTTCGCCTAGTGAGATCAATCTTATAATGCAGTAGTTTTGTTGCTAGAACACAGTGGTTGCCATTTGTTGGTTGCAGTGTTTGCCATGAATGTAGGACTGCAGCTGCCATGCATATAGAACCCAAGTTTTCCTACTAAAAAAGGAGCTTGTTGTCGTGCATTGGCAAACATTGGTTGCCATGTTTGTTGAACTGTAGCTGCCATGAATGGACAGCTACATTTGCCACACATGTCCACGCGCAAACTGACATCTTGCTGTTCGAATGATGTAATGCCAAATCACTCGACGTTAATGTCATCCGTTGCGATAAACATGTTATTCAAACAAAAAATCTTACTCCCGTACCTGTTTTTTCCATTACAGGGCCTACAACTAAAGTGAACAGCGGCGCGGGCACATCTACTGCGGGAAGCTCTGAGCGCACAGAAGACGCGTTCCCCCAGCCAGCAGACAATCATGCCGCAAATAATGCCGAGTCAGTGTCAGAAATGGCAATCATTCCAGCAATTCCCACAGCCACCCCTTTGAACGCAAGCACTGGCAACACTCAAATCGATGAAACTGCTGCCGATACTGAAGTGAATGATGAAACTGACGACGAGGCACAAGGGGATGAAGATGATGGGCAACCATATATCATGGTACCTTAGCCAGCGTACGTTGGGCAAAGATTTGAATCGTTTGAAGAAGCAAAGGAATTCTATCAGACATATGCAAAGTTCCATGGGTTTGCCGTCAACTCCGAATACCATAGAAAAATTAAGAAAACTAATGAGTACAGCAGAGGTGAGATGAGGTGCCACAAGGCACGAAGGAACAAGAAAGGGAAAGGTGTTGCGCCTGTCGTTCCGGAACGAAAGAGAGGGGTCATTCTCAAGACGGGTTGCCGTGTCCGGTGTAAGCTAAACATAGATGGAACACAGTATGTGGTCACTGAGTATTTTGACGAGCACAACCACAAACTCATAAAGAAGTTCGATCTGGTCAAATTTCTGACCGCCCACAGAGGGTTCACCCCAGTCGAAAGGCAATTCGTAAAGCTGCTGCATGATTGTAACGTCGGTCCATCAAGAATGATCCAGATACTATCACTCATCCACAACAAAAAGGGAAAACTGAGTAGCATGCCGTACATACCAGCTGATGTCACAAACCTACAGGCCAAGTACCGTAGAGAGAGCAAGCTTGCTGACATAGAGGCCACAATGGCCTACTTCGATGAGAAAGCGAAGAAAGATCCAGATTTCTTCTACAGGATAAGATTGGACGATGAGGACCGTGTCAGGAACATGTATTGGGTGGATTGTGCTGCAAGGAGAGCCTACAAACATTTCCGAGATTGCATTTCATTCAATGTGACATATCTGACTAATATGTACAAGATGCCATGTGCTCCGTTCATAGGAATAAATAACCACAATCAGTCGTTGCAGTTCGGTTGCAGGCTCGTTCGGAACGAAGACACAGATGGGTACGTTTGGCTGTTCAAAACCTTCTTGGAGTGCATGGATGGACTTGCTCCGATGAACATAATAATAGACCAGGATTTCAGTATGCGTGCAGGCATAGAGGAGGTATTTCCGTTGGCAGTGCACAGGCACTGCAGGTGGCACATTATAAAGAAGGCTGAAGAGACACTAGGACCGTTCTTTGCTGACCGTCCAGAGCTCCACAAGGCGTTCGAGCTGTGCGTGGACCACAGCTTGATGGTGGAGGAGTTTGAAAGGAGATGGATGGCCATGATTGAAACATATCAAGTCCAAGACAATGAGACGCTTGCTAACCTGTGGGAGAAGCGAATGTACTGGGTGCCAGCCTACTTCATGCAGTGCTTCTTTCCCTTTCTGCAGACTACGCAGCGCAGCGAGGGGTTCAATGCTGTTTTGAAGCGGTAGGTGAGCCCTGGCAACTCATTGCTACAGTTTGCCAAGCAGTACACAACTTCGCAACAAAAAATTCTGGGATCTGAGCTGCAGCAAGAAGCTACCACCGCGCTAAAGCCGCCGAAATTGCTAACGTATTTACCGATTGAGAGGGAATTGAGCAAGATATACACAAACAAGATCTTTAACAAGTAAGTCAGTTGCGTTACAGTCTTATTTGCACAAAAAGCACTAAGGCAGTAGGTGCCTTATAGGGTGCAATGCAGTTGCCATGATACGCAGTTGCCATGTGTAATGAAATATTGTTTGCCATGCTTACTCAACTACAGTTGCCATGTTTAATGAAAAATTTGTTTGTCATGTTCAATGAAGTGCAGTTGCCATGTTTAATGCACTGTATTACCACTGGGGCATGTTGGTATGCAAATGGTAATGACAACTGAAAAACGTTATATTATAGACACATTTGATGAAATGTAGTTGCCATGTTTACTAAAAATGCAAAACTTCCATGTTTGTTGAAAAATGCAGTTGCCATGTTTACTCAACTGTAGATGCCATGTTCAATAAAAATTCAGTTGCCATGTTTTATGTAAAGGGCTTCCAGTGAGGAGTGTTGGTGTGGAAATGACAATGGTCAGTCAAAAATGCAATACAATTGCCTTGCATAGTTTACTGCAGTTGCCATGTTCAGTGTACTATGTTTGCCATGTTCAATATACTATGTTTGCAATGTTCAAACAAAAATCTATTTCTATTTCCATGACAACATAAGGTGCTACAAAAAAAGATCACATGATAGTTTAACAGAAAACACACAAAACTTGCAGATTCCAGGAAGAAATAAAGCGTGCCAGCATGTTCACGGCTTTCCAGGTAGATGAACATACGTTCAAGGTGTGTTCTATTTTGGGCATGTCGGATTCAGAACCTAAAGACCCGGACAAAGGAAGGAACTACTTCATGAAAGCCTCGATCGAACAAGGCGAATACTACTGCCAATGCTGCAAGTTTGAACGGGACGGCATTGTGTGCTGTCACATACTGAAAGTAATGGACATGAATGCTGTGACATGCATGCCCCGCCATTTCATAAGGCGGCGATGGACTTGGGACGTTGACGACGCGTTTGCTCCGCAGACAACAAACACAGTTCTAGCTGTGCATGACGAGAGGCCTGAGGCAACCATGGAAGCTGTGAGGCACGTTGTGCTGACAAAGAACTATGTTGAGCTAATTGATGAAGCGTGCAAGAGTGATGAGACAGCGAGAGTCACAGAAAAACACAGGAAGGCCCTAAAAAGAGAGCTTGATGAGATCAAGAAGAGGAAAGCTGAGGAAGCCTTACACCGGTTCCCCCGCACATCAAGTGTGCCTTCATCCACGGGGCCATCATCTGAAAACTCTGAGATAGGATCTGGAACGGCAAGCACACAAACTCAGGTCAAGAACCCACCCCGTTCCATCACAAAGGGTTGTCCAAGAGAGATAAGGTACAAGTCGGGATTGGAGATTCAAGCAAAACACAAGAAAACGAAGAAAGGGATGGGCAATCCATAAGCAAAAGTTGGGGCACTGTGACATCGTCCTTGTGAACATTTTGTTTTTTGTACCCTATATGTTGTGAACTTTTTTTGATTTGGGATAATGACTCTAGAGGGGCTTCAGAAGTTAAAGGAGAATGCATTGAATGGGTAAATGTAGTTGCCATGTTGTTGGTACTTAATCTGCCATGTTATGGGTACTTAATCTGCCATATTATGTGTAGTTAATTTGCCATGCTATTTTATACTAAAACTATGCCATGCTATTTTGTACTAAAAATATGCCATACTATTTTATACTGAAAAATATGCAATGCTAGTTGCACTGGATCTGCCATGTTAGTTGTACTGGATTTGCCATGTTAGTTATGCTGGATCTGCCATGTTTATTATGCTGGATCTGCCGTGTTGTTTGTACTGGATCTGCCATGTTAGATGTACTGAAAATATGCCATGGTATTTGTAATGACTCTGCATTGCATATATTTACATGACAAAAATTGACGCGGTTTAGTGACACATATTGTGTTGTGTGCAATATATGGGAAACAAGTTGGAAAAAGCGTAACGTGCATAAACCGCAACGAAGGTTGTGGCTACATGATCAACCTACCATGCTAGCCGGTGAAGTTAGTGATGAAGACGAAGCAAAACGTCCAAATGAACAACGACGATGACTTTCGCTAACCATGTCTGATGAACTACATTTGCCATGTTTTAAAACATCGTGACACATTTGAAACAGCAAACGGGTGATACAAAATGATGAAACCATAGTAATAATGATAAACATAAAAAACATATCTGCTGTCACGCCTAAGTAGGTTCACATCCACACATATATTATAGAAACTATTCAAATGTCGCTCACACACCACCACTACATAGTAGCCTACGCGGGGTTGCAGTCATAACATAGCACACGAACATAGTTTTTGACGAGAACAAAAGAGCTAGTACCTTACATTCCTTGGCAACAAAATGTAAGGTATGCGTCCGGTGTGTATCGCCGCGTGATCACTTGTACCTCTTGATGACTTTCTTGACAACTTCCTCCACAAACTCGTGTGCTCCAGACCGCTTGTTGAAATCTTTATTCGTCAACCAGTTCCACGTGCAGATTTTTCGGAGCTCAACGACCGTTGCAGATGTGACAGCGGGGACAAGTCTACCTTCCCACTTTGCAAAGTACTCCAACGTGTGAAAACCACAGTCCATACTGCACAATAAAAAGAGTCAGGTGAACTCGCAAAAAAGGACAGACATAGCAGTGATAGAATTCAATTCAGATGTAACAACAAAAAGAGGGGGTGGATTGATGTAAATGGCACATGGAGGATGGGGGTAGGAAATTACATGTTCCCTTGCTTCGTAGTCGCCACGTACTCAACCGGGAAATGTCTGATCTGGACCTTTGAGTGTTCATAGTGACGGTTCCATGTCTCTTTGAGGTTGTTGATGAAGAATTCAGCATGCGTAGTAAGGTCTGCATCAGCTGCCGAACGCATTGAATCAAGCACCTCAAAGCGTTGGTTCTTCAGGTCAAGACAGATCGCATAGTGGTGACCACACTTGTCATGTTGGTCATGTGGTGCAAGCTCCTGGAACATGGGAAACATGACCTGCATTTAAAAGTGAGGGAAATAAGGAGAAGAGTTCACATGAAGAACCACAGAGGGACAAAAAAAGTAGAATCATGTAGACTGTTTGGTTATGGGTGGGGGTAGTTGAAAGAGAGTTGCCATGCATGTATGAAAAATTTTTGCCGTGTATTTTTCTATGAAGTTGCCACACAGTTTGTACGAGATGCAAGAAATCAAAAAGTCAGTTTGCACGGCAGCTGTTGCCACATGAAACATCTGCCACATGTACAGAGTGCAGAAGATGGCAAAAAACCATACCATGTGAAAAAAAAGTGCAAACAGGGAAGGAATACTCACATATTTCTTCATTGTGAGCTTGAATTCACTGTGTTGTGCAAAATTCTTCCTCAAGATTCTGTGGTGGAAGTCACCATCCCATATTTTGCAGGTCACACTGTAGTGCATGATTGTTTTGTCGGCACACACATCCATATGATTGTTGATGAAGTCAATCCCGCATGCAACTACGTTCGTCGACATTTTACCGTTTGGCCTCACGGACTCGGCAAGATCACCCAGGTCGACGTACGTCGCTTCGCATTGAATGATCTTGGTTCTGTCCAAACATGAGCTGTATGAAAATGATATAACATAAAAGAATCATGCCTACTAAGTAAAAAAATGAAAGAATTAAAATGTAAGCGGATCATGTATAGAAAGTACAAAATATAAGAAGATGAATGGTGAAAAAAGGAACAAAGCAAAATGAGAGATTATGGGGGTGTGGTCATTTACGCTTTCAGCTCCTTCATGTGCTTGCTGCTGGACCTCGCATTTCCAAAACGCTTGACTATATCGTACAGTTGGGTCTGTTCCTTAGTGGCCCTGAATTCGGGCTCGTAGTCTTCAACGGGAGGTGGGTGAACTACCCTCTACTGCCTTATAGAACCAGGGGTGGCACTCCTGATGGTATCCTTAGATACCGTATCTGCAGGCACGTTGGAACTTGATTGTCCTTGCCCTCGTGAGGTCCTCCTATGCAATGCTGCCTCCTCGATCCTGCGGTAAGCTTCATCAATTGACGGTGAAATCTCCTCAGGGGTGGCTGCAAGGATCAAAAAAGTAGATTAGGATGCATAGAAATCAAAAACAGATGCATTGTGAGAAGATAGGGTGCATTATGTGAGATGTATGAACAAAAAAGTGGGGAGTTGCCATGTGTGGTGCATCTGTAGTGGCCATGGTGTGGCAACTGTAGTTGCCATGTAGTTGCACTGTAGTTGCCATCTGGTTTGACTGTAGTTCCCATGTTGCATCAACTACAGTTGCCATGTTGTTGCATAGTGCAGCAACTCCAGTTGCCATGTGTAATGCACTGTATTTGCCATGTGACAGCAACTACAGTTGCCATGTTGAATCAACGTCAGTTGCCATGTGGTTTCTCCAAACATGTGAAATGCAGCATGGCAGCAAAAATAAAGTAGGTGACATTGTGCATCAAATCCAGTTGCCATGTCATCACATATCAGTTGCCCATCATGAGTGAGGACCCCCCCAAGAAAATACGATTGCGACAAAAGTCAAACTACAAAGATGTATACAAGAAAATGATATAAGCACATGATAAATGTACCTTGTACTATCGGCTCTGCAAACCTGACAGCCTTCCTGCCCTCAACCATTGGCTGCGCTATCATTGCGGGCATGCCTCCCGGGAAAGCAAATGCAACTGGCATAGGATCTGGCACCACTGGTTCATCTTGACTGATGCCAAGACTGAAGCTCGGTGGGGTGAAGGCCATTGGGTGCATCTCATGCCTACTTGCCGGACCACGAACAACTTGCGGGATAGAATCCAAAGGTGAAAGATCAACAAACATATCTGAATCGGCCGCTACAGAATGATCAGGCTTATTTGTAGGGCGGGGCGTCTTGTCAGCGGTATCAGCCATAGCTTTCTTGACAATCTTCTTGTTTGGGCTGTATGGGACACCCACATTGACTGGGAGCTTGGAAGTGCGCAGATTTAAGCTGGGGATTTCCACTGCGGGTAAAGGCGCACTCTGCTCCGGACGTTCACATGCGTCACTCGTTCCTGACTTGACACCTGCATCAGTTGTGCTCCGGTCTTCCGGTTTCTCCATCGCATTGCTTGTGGCAGGTGGGGGGAACAGTGTGGACACAGGGACATAACCAGACTCGTCTCTGCTGCTCCTAGCTATAGCCGGTGCGTTGGGTATGGCTGTTGATTGCTTGCGGGGGCTACGGTGCCTAGGTGGAAGACCAGCGTGCGAAACGGTCGCCTTAGCAGTATCTGCACCGACAGGAGCTGGAGCTGTTGCGCCAAGACTCTCACCTGTAGATGGCATATCATTGTGAACTGCCACCTCAGTCGCTTCTGTCATGGACACAAGAGTGTCACCATGCACGCGCTTGGAATCAGTGTCAGATGAGCGGGAATCTTCCTTGCTTAGGTTGGTCTCGGGAGCGTCCACTTCAACGCTTGCTGATGGGGTGGCATGGCTCACAGCAACATCCTTCATTGCCAGAAGAGTTGGCAATATTTCAGCTGTCCTGGTAGATACCGACTCGTCACTCCCCGATGTACGGATGCCTGTTGTTCTAGCCTGCACATCTGCAGCCGGCGGAGATGGTCGACCACTTGCATCAGAGGTAGTGGGAGCAGTTGACGGTGCAGCAGCCGTATTGTCGCCTGGCGCCTCATGAACATCTGAGTTTCCCCCTGTTGACAACTTTGAATGCAGGCGTTCGAGTGGGTCCTTGATGATATGCTTGGCCCCACGCGTAGTAGTCTTCTTCATCCTGCAAAAAAAAGAAAGCACATGAAAAAGGTATTAAAAAATGAACAAAATATATTTGCCATGGTAGAAATCTTAAAAAAAATGCAAAACAAGTGGAAAAGCTGGTAGTTGCCATGTAAGGGGAACATGAGTTGCCGTGTGACACAGTTGGCAGTTCCCATGCAAAATCCAGCAATGGTTGCCATATTAGCCAACTTGAAGAATGATAAAAATGACTGATCTTCCATGAATGCAATTTCAAATCCTAGGTATTGGGTGAGCACACAAGCCAACGATAAATATGGCAGTTGCCATTAGGTACAGTAAGAGTTGCCGTTTGGCCTAGATGCCAGTTGCCATGTAAAAACCAATAGGAGTTGCCATACACTTGAAAATGAAGGAAGAAATCATTTGGAAAAACATCAGTTGCCACGTGGGGGATGATGACAGAAGACCATGTGACAAGCTGAACAGTTGCATTGGAAAATCAAGAAGAAATAGCACTATGTCAATGAAAGCACATGGAGAAACCTACTTCTTGACTGGCTTCCTCAGGTCTGGCAACACGACAGGATCCCCGGTGTTGGTCGTCGTCGTACGAGGAGAAGACCTGGTGGAAGGGGTGTCACCGGCAATGGGGGCACCTTTGTTCAACCGAGCAGAAACACGGGTTGGCGTTGGCGCCTGTTTCTTTGTAACTGCTCGTCCACCAGCGGTCGGCTCGCTGCACGTATGAGATGGGGGGGGAGGTGGCAATTGTCAAACAACAAACTCATTGCCGCGCTTGACAAAAAACAAGTGCAGGAAAGGGATGAGTCTGTTCCAAGAAAATATACAAAGCAAAAAACTAAAATTAAAGTTGAACCTCATCCTGGCAGCTACGGGATCGGTCCTAGGACTCTTGCCAGGAGAACCCTGCCCAACATCCTCTGGAGCCCTCCCCATTGTAAGTGCATCTAGTGCCACCACTAGTTGGTTTTGCAGTATTGACGACAAAGTTGGTTGAGGGACTAATGCGTTTGTGAGAATTGCAGGATAACGCAGGTAGTGTCCCTCATTGATTCGGTTTACCTACCGGAGATGACCCCTAAAAATGTATGAAGACATTGAAGACAATGGTGGTATGAGAAGATATTCATATTGAAGACTATGACATGAGAAGACATTGCGTGAAGACTATGGAGCGCGAAGACTGTGTGGATTCGTTGCTTCCTTTTCTTCTTTGTTGAGTCATAGGAACCACCGTACTGTTAAGTGGGGTCCAAGTGAACTAAGTCAGAGTGACTGAAGTGATGCTCAACTCAAATTCTATGTCTTCGAGCGAAGACAATGAGAGAAAACCTTATCCAGAGCTGGATGAGTCAGCCTTGCTTGTAGCCCAAGTAAAGTTGCCGCGTGTGTTTGAAATCTGACCGTTGGAACACGTGTCAGTTCCTTAGTGACCCAGGGTCATTTTGGACAAATCAGGTCGGGTTGCCTAGTGGCTATAAATAGCCCACCCCCTACACCATAAATTGGTGGCTGCTTAGAGTTTGTACACGGCTTTTGTCGTTTGAGAGCAACCCACCTCGAAGCATCTGAGAGAGAGAAAAATCCTTGCGAGGACAAAGCCCAAACACCCAGAGCCAAAGAGTGTTAGGCATCACTGAAGTCTTTCTGTCTGTGTGACCTGAAGACTTATTACACTTGAGGACTGTGTATCCTCCAGCCGGTTAGGCGTCGCGTTCTGAGCATCCAAGAGTCATTGTGGATTGCTGGGTGAACGAAGTCTGTGAAGGTTTGGAAGTCTACCTTTAAGACTTACCAGAGTGATTGGGCGAGGACTAAGTGTCCTTAGCTCAAGGGGAATAAGGTGAAGACACAGTCTTCTGAGTTAAATCTCAGCCTCCCTAACCAGACGTACAGTTGTCACAGCAACTGGAACTGGTCCAACAAATCCTGTGCCTTCAACAAGCAACTAGTTCTATCCCTTTCCATCCTTTACTTAAGTTTGTCTTCGTGAAGTCACTGCCCATATGTCTATCTGTTTGACTTCATTGTTTGACTACTACTGTTGATTGGCTTCATACTATCTTCCATCCTGATCCTTACTACTTAGCTGCTATTAGTCCTGTACTTTCACATCATTGCATACTTGACTATGGCTCGCTTAAGGTAGTTTATCTTCCGCTGTATATCAACTAGGTTATTTCTGTTGTTTGTCTTCTAAACTTCCAAGTTTTGAAGACTTTCACA